TTATAATAATATTACAATTATAACTTTGTTGTTTACTTAAAATTCTAAGTAGAGTAGGGTAAGTAGTGCTAACTAGGCAATGGATAATTGTAATAAGGTTAAATTTTTAATTTGGTTTATAAATTATTGTATGGACTTTTATTTGGTCTTTAAATTAAAAATATCTTTGATTTGATCTTTATTGTTTATTAATTCACTTCAAGTTGGTCATTTTGTATAAAAAACCAACTGACGTATCTTTTTATTAACGTAACACATGATCATTAAATTATCATTTTTTGTTATTAAGTTACTGTTTTTTGTTGTTAAGTGACTGTTTTTCACTATTAAGTAATAGATATATCAATTTTTTTTATACAAAATGATCAACTTGAAGCAAATTAGTAAATAAGAAAGATCAAATTAAGAGTTCGTACAATAGTTTAAAGACCAAATTAGGGATTTAACCTTGTAATGATATACTTACAATAATATTATAAATCTATAATAAGAATGGGAATAATAAAAGAATATATACCAAATTACAGATAAATTATGTATATATGAAATGAATAAATTATTAAACGTGATTGTAAATGACATTATAATGTGTATATCATTTCTTGTAGATAATCAATCAGGAACAATCTCAATCATATTATGGTTTAAATAATTGATGGTAATTGGCCACTAAGGAATACAAAGAAACACAAATTAATGATTAATTTAATTTAAATTAATAACAATTGGAAAATGGTTGAAAATGGCCTTTGCCTGTGGAGATAAAGCCACTTGGCAGCCTCAGAAGATCCATTTATGAATGATGGGATCGGGAATTGTGAATTTTCTTGACGAGGATCTTATCCCTTAAGATTCTTGCATTTCTTGGTGATGGAATCTTGGTGGGTCAGGCTAGGACTACTGCGGTTGTACCTTGTAAGGCAAAACCTACCCCTATTTTCTTTTATAAGCAAGTAAAAGAAAATATTATTAGTAAAATATTATATAATATTAAAATTTTATAATATAATTATTTTTAAAAAATTATTAATAATATTATACATTTTTATATTTTAAATATTATATTATAATTATAAATTTATAATTATATATAACATTATAATTATTATAGTATTGCAAGAAATTAAGGCCAAACTTTTAACCTATCCTCCACCCTCAAATCTATCCTATTTGAGTGGATGAGCTTATAAACGAAAAAAAGAGCGAATAAGCCCTTGGATATGCTTTTGCAGCAAATTAGTCCTTTGCTAACTACTATTATTGGAGGCCAAGAAAAACCTACTACTATTAGTTTCTGATGTTTTCAGCTAACGTAAGATTTTTTTTAAAAAAAAAAATAAATAAATAATTCTGTTAATGCATCTAACCTGATGCCTAAAAGAATATGGATAATTGCAATTCTGATAAAAAAAAATGTTATAATTTAAGGATTAATTTTATTTGAAATTAGATCAATTATGGGACCAAAATTTCATTTTCTATTCTTTTAGCCATTTATTAGCGGATTTTTTTGATTGAACTGCCACTTCAGCTAAAATTAATAAAAACTAATAGTACCGGTTAAAATGGGTAATTGTGAAGGCTTAAGAATAGGTTTCGCCGCAAAATTTCTGCCTATTTGTAAAGAAAAGGTTTGTCTTTTTCTTAATCATTGGGTAATTTCAGTGAAGTTTCTGCAACTAGAATAGCAGTGTCACCTTTTAGGCGAATTTTAGTGAAAGTTTGCTTAAAATGCTTTTTACCTTCCCCCTCTATGGAGCTAGAAGATGTTTATTTTGGTGTTTTGTAAGGCTTTTTATTCTAATTAAATAGATTAAATAATATAAATTGCAAATAATAATGATTAATTATTAAATACTAATTATTAATTATCAATCATATATTAATACCCATAATATGTATTGTTAAAATTTGCTATAAATACTCAATTAATGAAACTTGGAGAAATGGACAGTTGCTTTGGGACACAGAGATGACAAAAGTGGCATTGTAATAGTGAAAGCTACGCATCCAATAATTCGGTTTAACTAAACTTCACAACCAAAAAGACAGCTTTCACGGTGTCTTAATGCCAATCATAACCCCAACGTATTCCATCGCTTACATTCTCGATATATGACCATACATGTATACCCTGCTCCCATCAACCATCATAGCCACGTGAACAGTCGCTCTGACCTAGTAACATTATATCTTGAATTAGAACTATTCGTTTTTTGCGAGTTACGTATTCAAGTTTCAAGAAATCATTTTTTCAATTTTTCAAATTAATTTATAAATAATTATAATAGTTAAAAAAAAAAAAACCATCATAGCCACATTTCTCAATAAATAGCCCATATTTTATGGGTAAAAAAATGTTGATTCTCAGAGTGTCAGAATTTCAAGTTAAATAGTTACTTGTAATGCATTAAAAAAAAATAAAACCTTTTTTACAAGTACAAAATAATTTATATTATGATATCTAAGTAATATAATTATTTAAAAAAAGTTAATTTACACATAAATTTTATAAATTATATTCATACAAAATTTTATTTTTTATTTTTTATTTTTAATAATTAAAATTTATTTACTTTTTATTTTATTTATTAAAAATAATTAATTTTTCATCTAAGTAGCAGTGATAAATTTTAATTATTAAAAGTGAAGAGATAAATTGTTAAAATTTTATATAATAATAATGAGTAAAAATTATGTATAAATAGATTCTACTCTAGTCATTTATTAAACTAAATTATAAACTAAGCAAATTTGTTACATATAAAATTAGACTAAACTTGCAGATAATAGTTTTCAATTAAAACTGATTATGTATTCTTCTAAGTTTGGGCTGTCATTTTAAACTTTG